AGGTTTAATTCCCTTAAGATTCTTATAAGCTATTCTTTTAATATAAAGTTAAAGGCGCCCTTTATATTTAATAAGAAGGTACTATTAATAGCCTTCTTATTAGATTCCTACTTCTTTTAAATATAATATAAAAAGAGGAAGGCTATATTAATAGCTAACTACTATTTTTATTCCCTTAGCTATATAGGGTTTAAACCCCTAGCTATATTAGCTTAATAGCTTAGCTAGGTAGTATATAGCTTTTCGCGGACCTTTCTTAAATAGTTAAGTAGACTTATAATACTATAGGCCTTAAGGATAATATAGTCTTACTTATTTTACTTAGGGAGTATAATTCTTAAAGCTTCTTTTTATACTTTAAGGTAGTATCCTTAGTTAAATAAGGCTTTATAGGCCTTATTAAAGACTATAGGGATAGCCTTATATATATATTAAATAAGGAGGAAGCTAAGGGAGCTTAAGCTAAAGGCTTTCTTATTAAAATAGCTAAAAATAGCTCTCTTAATCTTATAGTCTTTTAGATCTAGCTAGTTTTACTTAGCTATACCCTTACTACTTATATAGCTTAGAGGCGTTTCTTTTTCTAGGCTTTAAAGGGGCCTAGGGCTAAGGTCTAAGGTTAGAAAAAGGGTTATTAAAAAAGCCTTATATTTTTTATAAAGGTATTAGCTTTACCTCTATCCCTCCTTTTATATATAAAATACTAAGGAAGGTAAGGTTAGCTATAGCCTTAATATAGGAAAAGGCCTTAAAAAAATCTTTTATATTACTTTTATTTAAAAGCTTTCTTAGTATTACTTTTTAATAGCTTTAATAGTATATTTAAAGCTATTTTAAGCCTTTATAAAGCTCTTTTAGCTCTCCTTATCTTAAGTTAGCCTATAGGCTTTTTAAGCTAAGCTTAAAGCTTTTTAAAGGGAGGTTAGTATATTAGTTTACTAAGGCTAAGATCCCTTATAGGGCCTCTTTTTTAGTATCGCTATATTAAAGGCTTCTATAAAGGTTCTTATTAAAAGGGAAACTATCCCTTTTAAGTTATCTTTTCTTATAGCCCTCTTTATTACTATAAGAAGGTCTTATTCTTTCTTAGCTAAGTATTTTAAAAAGACCTTTTAGTTTACTTTCCTATAGTTATTAGTAGTAGGCCTAGCTAGTAGGGGCTTATTAAGGCCTATTAAGCTAGCTTTAAAGGCTATAGGCTTATAGTTTAAGCCTATAGCTTTTAAGAAGCGAAAGTTAGCCTAGGTTAGCTACTTAAAAGGGCTATAGAAAGTAAGGTCTATAACTAAGGCCCCTTTTAAGCCTTTCCTTTAATAAGTACTTTATATAGATACCTTAAGGTCTATTAGTAGGGAAGCCTTATAGCGGTCGAGCTAGCTAATAAGGGCTTTTACTTTATAGGCTTTAAAGGGTTCTATAAAAAGGTTCTAATAAAAGTAGTATAAGTTAAAGTCCCTTATTAATAAGAAAGGCTATTATAAGAGCTAGGCTATTAATAATAGCCTTTTTATTATAAGGGGCCCTTATAAGTATTAGCTAGCTAAGGCCCCTTTAACCTCTTTTTTATTATATTAGTTAATAAGAGTAAACGGCTTTATACCTTTTACCTTTATAGCCTATATATTAAGGTTATAAAAGAGGTTAAAGCTAAGGTTAGCTTTTATTTAAGCTTCCTTTCTCTTATAAGCTATAACCCTAAGCCTCTTAGTAAGCTTAAAAAAGTTAGTAGAAAGGATAGGGGTTATAATATTATAGGCTAAATACTTTATAAGTATATAACTATTATTAATCCTATAAAGGTAATATAATAAGATAAGGTTTACTTTTATTTCTAAGGCTTACTTTAAGATTAATAGGTTAGCTATTTCCTACTTATTAATATTATACTATATAATACTAATAAGGTTATAGTTAGGCCTCGAGGGCCCTATAAGTATAAAGGGGCTAAGACTATTAAGTATTAGATATTCTCTTATAGACTTTATATTATACCTTATTAGTTATAAGGTGCTCTCTCTTATAGTTATAGTATTAGACCTTAAAGTAAGAGTAGCCTTAGCTAGCCTTATAGCTAGGGTAATTATAATCCTTAGTTAAGTGCTTTTCTAGGTAATAAGTATACTTAATAGGCTGCTAGTAGGTCTAAGGGTTATAGCTAAAAGAAAGGCACCTATAGTACTATATATATATAGTATATTCTTTATAGGCTTTAACTTAAATCTATAGGCTTACTATATAAAATCCGTTTTTCTAGAATTTAGTACTTATAGCTTTTAAAAGGACTATAAAGATAATAGATTCTACTTTCTATATTAAGCCTAGGGTACCTAGCTACCTAGGCTACCTTAAGATATCGATCCTACTATAGGTCTTAGCCTTTATAGCGAAGATATCTAAGATAAGGGTTTCTATAAAGTTAGGGACGCTTTAGGCTACTAGCTTAGTCTAGCTAGTAAGGAGGTCGGCCGATTTAATAGGTAGCCCCTTAAGGTATAAAGACTACTTTTCCTATTACTTAAGAAGCTTCTTTACTATATAAAGGGCCTTTATTATTATAACTATATTACCTCTATTTAAAGTTAATAGAGCTAATATAGCTAGTTCCCTTATAGCTATATTAAGCTTATTATAAAGAGTAATAGGGCTAATAGTTAGCGTTAGCGATCCCTTCTTTAGCTTTAGGATAAGTTAGAAGTCCTCTTTTACGTTCCTCTTAGCTTAGGCCCTAGTCGGGACCTTAGCTAGGGCCTTAGCTAAAGCCTTAGCCGGGACCTTAGCTAGAGCCTTAAGCGCCTTCTTTATAGTAACCTTAGCCTATAAGCTAGTTTTAAGGTTTCCTTAGGTAGCCTTAGCTTACTAGGCGGCCTTAGGCTAGTATAAGGGCTATTATAGGGGCTATTAGCGGTCTAGGGTCCCTAGGGCTACCTTCTTAAGCCCTTTTATAAGGGTCTTATAAAAGGGTTTAATTTTTTAGGCTTCCTTAAGGGCCTAAAGGGCCTACTAAAGGAAGCCCTAGGCCCGGTCCCTAGGGAAGGGGTGCTAGGGCCGGGGCTAGGTCTACTATAAGTATTAAAGCGTAGGTCGGATAGGCGTAGGGCTAATAGGGCTACTAAGGGCGGCCCTCTTTTGTCCCTTTACCTACTTTAAAGGCTAGTTAGGCTAGAAGTAACTAGCCTAAGGCAGGGCTAGGCTAGGCCTAAAGAGGCTAGTCTTTAGTATAGCCTAAGTATTATCTTTTATCTCTATATCCTCTAGGTCCTAGTAATTAACGCCCTGCGTTAGTCTTAGGGGCAGGCATATAGGGGCAGGCAGGGCTTAATTCGACGAAATAACGCATCTTTAAGCTCCGAGCTCTATATATGTAAATAACGTAAGCAACTTGCCTGCCTGCCTTACTCTGCGATGTATTTAATATGTATATAAATAGCTTCACTTTGCGATATATGCGATGTGAGTCTGCTACGTAGGCGCGGGGAACGTGCGCATATAAATATGCGGTATCGGCCCTGCGCCTTTACTAGCCACACTAAGACCCAGAAAAGTTGGCTGAATAGCGTAACGAGTTGGACGGTTAACCCCCCCCCACCCTTTTTAAAGGGAGTCCAAGGCCTTGAAACTAAAGTTTGAATGCTCGTCTACGGCGACTGCTGTAAAGTCGGATCCCGGATCAACAGATTACTTCTATAGCTACAATGGCGTTGCAGGCGCAGTTTACTTCTTATAACAGCACTCTGTAAAGGGCGCTGAGAATCGTTGGAGGTCATGATTGGCTACTGTCCTTGTTCATCATAGAACGCACGCGGTCCAGGTTCTCGCAGAACTAAACGTCAACAAGGTGACATACGCCCTTTCGCACCGAGATCTCAACAGGCGGAGCCATTGAGAGTGGGTGCGTGTGTTGTCCAACCAGTGTGCGTTTTTGGCTCTTCCCGTCGAGGTTTTCGAAAGGCGGGTGTCAATGAGGTACGGCAGAACGACTTCAGAAGACACACTTTAATAAGGGAATGCTTTATTATAGAGAGTACTGTTACATTGTACAGATTGCAGCGTGAGAGGACGACAGATAGGCTCACATGTGCAGTGATTGGGCGGATCAATGGGGCTAAAGTACACATGCCATGCCTCGGAACAGCGTCCGTTGGCAAGGATACACTCGGCCGTTATGCATCAAAACAAGAAAGAGAATATAAGCGCTGCTCGCGATGCGGATGGCCGAGATGGCGAATGGCAAGTGCGCATTCACGTACAAATAGTCTCTTAGACCATGTGTGCAGTCGCGCCTCAGGTGTAATTGGTCTCTACGTCGCGGTGTCCAGCTTGTGCCACCAAGCCTTGATTTTGCAGCGCTGATCTGTATGGGCTTATCAGGACGTTGCGATTCATGAATCATTAGGATAACATAGTACTGGTACTTATTCAATCTTGGCCTTGACTTTGATAGTTAGCGGTCTCTCGGGTACCGCGGGATCCTCGGGATTCAGCTCCAACTCGGCCCCCTTTGCCCAGAGAGGAAATGGAAATCTCACTCCACATTTTACGGTAAATCTTAAGCCTATTCGCTCTAAAATGTAGAGTTTACGGAGTAGATAGGAAGCCTTACCTTATCCGTCGAGAAGCAGGTCCAAAACCAGTCCCTACACGGTAAAACTCAGCTAAACTCTTGCATAAATGCCGACGTGAAAAGTGGACTCCCAGGGTGTTGGCTTATCTCCATTTTCAAGGATTAGAACACAGCCATCATCGGCGGCTCATGGCCTACTCGTGCGGTGATGCAAGATTCGCGCGCTTCTTCGACAGCCGGTTGACTAGGATCACAATAACTAGTAAGTAGTTGTACACTACCGCCGGCGTGCATGCAGCTCCTTATCTAGGTGATTCGCCATTTTGAGCTGGCCTGTCAACATCTTAGGCGTATGTTTACTGACTAAAGGCTTAACTCTATCGATGCCATCCCTTACCCGCGAGTCTGCGGTGATACCAGCTTCCATCTCCGCCTTGTTCTAGTGGATGAGCGAGCGAGTCCACTTAACTCTAGCAATCTTGCCTCTGAGCCTTTTGCCAAAGATGTAGGCCGGGATCGTGAGCGCTGTTACCGCCACACCTATGGCGGCGAGAACATTGAACACGATAGCTGGCCCTGCCGCAATGTACCAATTAATGAGCCCACCCGATGCGACGAAGATGCCAGCGGCGGCAAAGAGGTTGATCAACGTGAAGGCTTGGCCGGAGATGATTGGGAAGCAGTCGACGACATAGGTCAGGACCGCCTGCGTAGTCCACATAAATCCCAAAAAGGCAGCAGATAGCGAGACCAACGCCCAAGCGAGTGGCAAGCCTTTGTCGATGCTGACGCCGAGGCCAACGAGGCCAGCTGTACTCAATGGCGCGCAGACAAGCAAGGATACCAACCGAAACTCGGGCTCGAAGACGCCACTTTTGATCTTATTTCGTGTAGCCATGAAGCGGGCGACGGCGTCTAGGATCCATCCAAACAGAGGCCCGCCGACGAGAGAGACGCCCACCAGCGGTAGGTACGTGAGACCAACTTGGGCAGGCGTGAGATTGTATGGCGGTAGGGTGACGATGACTGAGGTAAGTACGGGGATGCTAACAAGAAAGGTGAGAAATGTGCCGAAGACAACGACAGCGTATAGAACTGGAGGCAATGTAATGAGACAAAGTGGCTTCAGCGTCCCTTTCAAGAAAGATTTATCGCCCAGACGTCCACGAGAGATCGCCAACCTTTGGCTATATTTCTCCTTAGCATCGGGCGAGACCTTAGTCTTGTGATCTTCAATGCTCCAGTCGTCATACGTGCCGAATTCGTGAATCTCATCGGGTCCTGCGTTCTCTCGGTCGAAGTATGCGGATTCTAGGACAACAAAATAGGCGATGACAAGAAGGGTCGCATATGCGACAGCGGTGAACTTGAAAAGAGCAGGAACGCCCATAGAGTCGATAATGAAGCCGGCAATAACCTGCCTGCCACACAATCTTGGGTCAAACTCTGCCACTATATCAAGGCCGCCTATGTGACATACCCTAGTTGACCGCCACCATTTAGTACGGCGCCAAAGATGGCAATATATGTGCCCCGTTCGTGGGCGAAGAAGATGTCCGATATGGTTGCCGGAGCAAGCAGGAGAAGCGGCGCTGAGGCGAAGCCTGTCATTGTCCGCATGATGACCAAGGATGGGAATGTCTGTAAGCATAATGATGCGAGTCAGCAACACGTTATCGACTGAGGATTATGTCAGGCTTCAAGTCGGGGCGAGAAGTGGCAGGAGTTCTAGCCCACTTGGTACGCACCTCAGCTACATAAGCAAGAAAGTTGGAAATAAACAGGATGGCGATGCTGACCAAATAAAATGGACGTCTTCCCCATACATCGGCTCCGGAGACGGTGATGAAGCCTCCTATTGCCGTCCAGAAAGCAACGGCCCCGATGGTGTACACAGAGATTTCATCCTGGGATACCCCCAACGCTTCCGAAAGAGGAACCAGGCCTGGAGCTACCATAACGGTAACGCTGAGCAGAGCTCCATTAGTAAACTACGGCCTCTTTTTGACTGTTGTGCGGGAATAAGAGACGTGCTTACGCGTTCGTCAGGCTAGATCCAAGTGCAATGACCAGAAAATGTCCGATCTTCCATGTCCAAGACCTAGCAGTGTCAGGGTCCGACTCCACAGTAAGTTACATGCCATGGGTGTCGGCTCGGCTCTCACCAATTAAGGGGATCATTGGGACAATCGCTCGGTTGCGGTTGCAGAACAATGTTGCCGTGCTTCTTCACCTTTCTGTAACGGACTGAGCTCGTGTCTACATTGGACACAATTGACCATTAACGATTGAGTTCAAAAGCTTGGAGAGATTCTCACCGTTTTCAGTGCTCGTCAAGCTTACTGTCCCGGGTGGGATTTTCGTGTGCGGGTCGTCAAGCACACCCCATGCCATTACTGCGAAGCTCGAAAGACGTCGTACGGCCAGGAAGCCGGGTCGGAAACAAAAAGTAGGATAAGTTCGGGTTAAATCCTCCGAGACTCTGAAGTTGAATGCAGAAGTTGAGATGAGGGTTGAGCGTGCAGGAATGCCGAAAGTCTGCCTGGCCGAGAAAGGGAAGCTGGAAGTGCGAGGGTTAGTGACAACATAGAACGACCAGAAAGAAACCGTTTCCAACCAGTTGGAAAAAGGGGGAAAATAATCGTCAGCGAAAAAAAAACTCTGATACGAAAAGCTGGGGGCCTATTGTTAAATAACTAGATACAGGAAGTGGTGAACGCATCGCATTTGCGGCCATAAAATCGATAGCATGTTCTGTGCAGATGGTCTAGTCAGGCAGTTTAGGTAGTGTTCAAAATCTCAGCCAGGGCTGATTCTGAGACGACCGGCGCTTCCAATCCGCGATACAGAAAGCTAAAACGGCACCCGAGGGCTGCGGTCGTACCCCCCTCCACAGCCTACGGCTTGCGCGTGGTTTGAACTTTAATCCACCCTTGTAAGCTTGAGGGCGGCGAGATCACCATCCGTGTGTGGGGATGCCGGGATGCCCTCGACATGGCGGAGGCCGAGCTTCTCACAGCCTTGGCGTTGCTCCCTGTGACACTCGAGTACCTCTTTCTTCCTTCTGTACGACGGAAAGGTTACCCATTCGGGGAGTTTTGAAACTCATACCTTACAGCGCCTACAGTGGCAGAAACTGTTGATGCTAATTCAAGGGCAGTGTCTCACCCTAGAAGCAAATATGTGCTTCGTCGCCAACCAGCTCCCGATAGGTTTTGCCGGACCCGTGGTTTCGAGCGAGCATAAATAGTTCAGCCGTTCTAAGAAACTCGGCCGGCAGACAAATTGCCGCGACTTCCACAATGCTTTATCACCATAAACGATGGCTACACGGCGGTTGAAAATTTACATCGGAGGCTTTAAAATATTTCATGGGGCGAGGAAATCTGCCAAATGAACTTTGAAAGGGATGGAGGAGGGTTTGGGGAGGGGCGGGGGAGAACATATCAGGCATCCCATGAAGAGGAAGCAATATTTACATAAGTTTACAAAAGGCTGGACTGATGGCTTGGCTATGTATGCTTTCGATATTATCTACTCGTATGACCACAAGACCCCAGCCATAAGACCATATGGTGACATGGTGATATCTTTTCCCTTTGAGCCGCAGTGAGCCTCTCACGGCCCTTGTCCAAGTGCACAGCGCAGTTCTTTCGGCGACGGCACCCAGTTACTTGGGGAAATACGTATGCAGAAATCAGGGAGACTGATGGTACGGAATGAAGATGTACATGGATGCAGGCTTACCCGTCTTTCTAAATCTTTACTTCTGCCCACCTACATTGCATGAACATGTGGTTCTCGTGCCTCAAGAGTGTTGTATGCCTTGAATTTGAGCGAGTACTGTACATCGTCATAGCAAACGTTGGGTTCACAATAATTTCCCGCCCCCTCGCGGAATTTCCCGACGCCGGGCCCACCCATACGCCTGTTTCGAACTTCGTCGGAGCCCATTCATCGGACTGATACATAAGTGATAAGCCTACACGACTCAAGTATGGATTGGGTTAGCGAGCCTCAATGCATTCTTCGAACATCTGGGTGATCGTCCTGAGTCGCTGACGTCGGCACCAGGTGGATGAAGTTTAGTGGCAAATAGGGAGCTGCTGCGGCTGGGGCTGGTGGAGACTAAGCTATGCTGGGTCCGGGTGTTCGGGGGAGCGTGAGGCCTGAGCGCCAGAAGCCAGGCCTTGATAAATCCAGCAGCCCTTCATTAGCACGCGCTTCTTATCATGACGTCTGATCCTCTACACTGAGCAAACATCGCAAACATCACTATACGACATACCACTATCGTCTTACTCCACGGCCTTAGGTGTTCGGCCTCCTCAACCCCAACCTCCCGCCTTCCAACCCCATAGGTCCTCCCTCGCGTCGAAAGACACTTGCCAGTCTGTTCATGGTGGAACCAGGCACGATGACGGCTGCGGATGAGGGAAAAGAGCAACCGAAGAGTCCCGAGAAGCCATCCACTGACGACGACCCTGATCGACGGGCAGTACGTTCGCACCCAACTACCATCAGGATGCTTCTCATTAACAACGACTGCCTGTAGTGCGATCAATGCCGACAGCGAAAGGTTAGTGAGCGCCGCGGCCGGCCCGGACCCGACCATACGGCGTCAAGAAGTGCCAGGGTACGACCTGTGCCTTCTGATGCGTGATGAGCAAGTCCTCAAAATGAAAGACAACATAGACCCGATGTGACAGGAATTGGCCGTGCTCCACCTGTCGTACTGCGAGCCGCCAATGCACAACCACCGGTGCTGGTCAGCGTCTAAAGGAGCCCCGGCAACGCATCTTGATATCCTCCCGATAGTAAGTCGACCAATATCTATATCTCTCGACTTCAAAATTAGACATGCTAAGCTGCTGCCGTCCAAAAAGCGAACGGAAGATCGACGAAATTGTGTCCCGTCTGGGGAGTATCGAAAGCCTTCTTAGCAGTCGGCCGGTCCCTCCGGTCTCGGTAGGCCATAGAACACAACACGCACATTCAGACGCCAAGGCATTTGCCATACCGACCCCAGCCTCAGCCTCGGGCTTTGAAAGCACCAGAGACGAGTCGCCCTTTGCGCCCGACTCGGGTCTCTCACAACAGTCAAACTTTGCCAGGGTGTTCCTCGAGGAAGCCGCCAAGAGGTCCACCTTGCCTGGGTTTAGCCCCGAGATAACTACCGCTCTAAATAACCTCAGACAGCTAGTCGAGTTGCAAGAGCTGCCCTTTACCAGCTACGGTCTCCAAGTTCACTTCCCTCTAAAGAAGACGACCCCCCCTGGTGGCCTCTGTAAGCTTCCGATGCCGCCCATAGCAGCCTGCATACATCTGCTCGAAATAGTCAAAGGTGAGACGACTGCGGAAAATTCGAGCTCCATGTCCGGGAATGTGCATTAACCTCTAGCAATCTAGATTCACCCCCAAGCCTCTTCAGCTTTACTTGCTCAATAGTAGGCATCACAGATTTTTCAAACCTCTGCCGGTCGTTTTACTTCCCTACTTCAGATAACCCCAGTGATGCAAACTTTATTATAGTGAACGCCATGCTGTATAACCTCTTTACGGAACAGTTCTCATTGGCCACAGACCCAGCCATCCAAAGCGAGTATGATTCGTATATACAGATATGCCGAGTCAACATCGAGACTGGCCTCGCTGCGACGCCACTCGTTCTCTCTGCTGCGGTCGAAAACGTTCAAGCACTTCTGCTGGGGGTGAGTGGCACTCCGTTCCCTAGCCTTGAGTCGCTCAGGTCTCTGACGAGAACGGCTGTAGACGCTCTATGCCATTGATATATCAAGGGCCTTCGTTGCCTGGCATCTTGTGTCTACAGCCGCCAGACTTTGTCAAGCTGGTCGCTTTCATCACGCCGATAATTTAAAGTACAACTCCCCTCAAGTCTCTCGGCTTAAAAGAATTCTGTTCTGGCATGTATATATGTTAGAAAGGGGACTCTGCCTCGGACTTGGCCGTACGTCTGTCATCCTGGAATCCGACATCGATATTCCCCGCGAGTTTGACCTAGATGGGTTTGGAAACCTTGAATCATCCGGCCTTGGAACACTCTGGATCAAGACAGGGTCTCTGCAGGGCCGCATCTATGAAAAGCTGTAGGCAGACTCTTACCCCCGCAACTCTTTTGTCTTCTAATTTCCTTGCTGATGGCTTTTTAGATATAGCCGAGCCGCGGTAGTAAAACCTCAACTGGAAGTCATACAAGAGGCGCACGTGCTAGCTGCGGAGTGCCGGGAGCTCGAAAAAGAGTCTGCAGAATACCGGAATCAACTATCCAACTACCATAGAGCGGTGAACTCCTCTAAAATTATGAGCGCTTTCCTAAGGGGCGACGACATCCAATTTTTATCTACTCTGACGCTCGTATACCGACTTATTCCTACACCGGAGGGCTCAGTTAGTCGCTTCTCCAACGAGTGCCTCGAAACAGCCCGCAGAGCAGTAAGAGCCCATCTAGACTGCATTCGAGGCACAGACACCTGGAATTATATTAAATCCATATATATTCACTGGTACGCGTCTTCCTTGAGGAGTTATGCTTTCCAGGGGCTAACCGATAGATGGCCTAGGTACCTTACTGTAACACCCTTTACGCCTTTCTTCGTCTTGATATGTTACGTCATTGAGACCTCGTCATTAGAAGACCTCAAGCTTCTACAAGATTTTATCTCGTCATTCAAATCCTCGCGTCGTGATTCGGAAACCATTGAAAAGTTCTATCGCCTTTGCCAAGTAATGTGCGACGCGGTTGGAATTTATGTGGAAGCCAAACTGCAACAGCAGGACCAACTTACAAGACCTATCGGTGATGAGTTTGAGATGTATTGGAGTCAACTTGGCTTTATGACGGAGGAACAGTCCGCGATAGACAGAGCTTTTACCGAGGCGCCAGGCCAGAGAAATGCGCAGGTCACGCCTATGACAGATTGGTTTTTGGGGAGTCGGAACATTGTTGGTTTACTAGAAGAGGATATGTCGCAGATTGATTTTTCTCAATGGATGTAGCCTTCGGCGCAAAGTCGTACCCCCTAAGGCATATATCCTTATGTAAAGGCTGGTACTGTGATACGATACCCTGAGACCTCAGTCCAGCAGCATTCTGCACGCAGAATGCAATGGGGTGCCTATCTCATCATGTGTAGACATGAGTCCTTCAACGATCTTAGGGTTCTCGAAGCACTCATGAGGATAAGACTACGAGGCATTGGCGAACACGCAAGGGACCTGTAGTATAAGAAGTGAAAGATTGACAGGCAGTAAAGAATGTCTGTCGATGAGGCAGCACGGCTCTCGGGAATTAACGAAATGATACGTGAAGTATCTTCGCGTAAGGCATGAATTCGGACACCCGCCTTTCGAACACTCTCCGACTTTAAAAATGTCAACATGGCACCGCGATGCTCCTCTCACGAGTCTCCTCTAGAGGCGGCTTGCGCCGAGCCCGGTGTACACTACATAGGCCGGCCTTGCGTCTGCTAGGATAGCTGTTTGCTAAGCTTCCTCTAATTATATCCGAAGTACTTCGTAAAGAGCCTCGTGTTAGCGGCTAAAGTCTCGACCAAGAATATAAGGCAGACATAACACGTAGTAGTATAAATTAGGCGTAGCACTCGTTATATATAACTTAATTTATCTATATAATAATATTTACCTACTCTTAAGTAGAGGCTTAAGAGTATAGTAGAAGAAATAAGGGCATAGAAAGGTAAATTTAGTAATATATATCTTAGTCTATCTATTAAGATAAGGGAAGGGCTTATATAGGTATAGTAACTATATATAGCTAGCTAAAATAGGGCATTAAGATATTCCTATACCTAAGTTAAGCCTATATAATATCCTTAGGCTAGGGGAGTTATATTAGTTAGGTAGGCTTCCTTATATATAACTATTAGGTCTACTAGGCATAACTTTAGCCTCTTATACCTACTCTCCTTAATATACCCCCTTACTACCCTAGCTTCTAGATAGTAGGGTAATAGGTAGAGGAGCGATCGGTTTAATAAATATAAGGCTATTTTAATATTAAATTCGGTAACTTTATTATTTATTTAAGGAGGTTATCTTAAAATAAGGAAGGCTCTTAATTATATCCTATAAAGAGGGAAGGTAAATATAGTAAAAGGTAATATAGTTCGGTAACTAGTACTATATATCCTTTAAGTATATAGTACTAGTTACCCCTCTTACTAAAGAAGGGTTTAAATATTAGTTAGTTAAGGTTATATAACCTGCTCTTACCGCTTAACTTAGTAGTTAAAGGCTATTATTATTAACCCCTCTTATAAGGGATATAGCTACTATAAGGCTAGGTAAAAAAAATAGTATATAAAAGATAAAAGCTAGGACCTAAGAGGATAGGATATAAAGAGAAACCCCCTCCTTACCTCCTATCTCCTTAAGCCCCTAAGTTTATTAGCCGCGCTCCCCTTAAGGCTTAGTTATATAACCTACTCTTTTACCTTAAAGGGAGTCGAACTTATAATTAATAGGGTTATATAACCTACTCTTACCGTTTAACTAGTAGTTATAAGTTATATTTATAACCTTCCTTATAAGGAGGGGTATAGTAAGGTATCTCTTTAAGTAGCTTAGGTACTATAGTACTTTTAATAGCGATATTATCTTTTAAGATAAAAGTAATCTTAAAGGTAGGCTTTTTATTAATATACTCCTTATATTAATTAATCTTAATTTAGTAAAGATATTACGATTATTATAAGTTTAAGCGCTATTATATTATATAAATTAAGGGGTAGTTTAGTAATAGCTTTACTTCTTAGTAGTAAATAAAGCTAACCTCTACCCCTTAAATCTTTATAGTTTCTTAACTAAATTAATATCTAACTATACTATTAGAATTCTATAATCTTAGTAAATATAGTAGTATTCTTATTATTAGGATCTAGTAATTATTAAGTTTACTATAGTAAGAAGATATTATACCTTAATATAGTAGCTAGGTATATTATCTCTTAATATATCTTCTAGCTATATTGCTAGCCCTAATTACTTATTAAAGCTCTAATAGTTTTAGTATATAAGCGCCTTTATTATACTACTAGCTAGGTTATCTATTAATACGATCTAGCTAACTTATATTTAATCTTACTATACCTCTTAATATAGTTAATATCTATAAATACTAATATACTTAAAGTTCGTCTTTAGCTTTACGCTTAATTTAGTTAGAAGCTTAATAGTTTAAAGATTATTATATTAAAGCTCTATTATCCCTTTAATACTAATACTAAGCTTATTAGCTAACTAAATATAACTTATTCTTTAGCTATTTATAAGAGTACTAATAGTTTAGCTTCTATAAAGGATATCTCTATAATAGCGTACTTAGTAGCTTTTTAGTTAATTAGCTTACTAAGGAATAAGAATATATACCCTTTTAAGGACTTTCTAGTCCCTAAGTTATTAGTATATAAAGAGTTAGATATATATATTAGCCTCTTTATTAAGCTTATTACTATAAAGTAAATATAATAGTCTCTTATATAATAAAGGTAAGCTAGGCACTTATATACTTTATACTTATAGCGCGGCCTAGGGTTATAATTATATTAAGCTAGCTTTCTAGCTATAAATATAATATCTAGCTTAGTATAAATTACTAGATAAATAAGCGACTTAATTAAAGATATATATTTATATATCTCTTTTTTTAAAGCTTACTTCTTATAAAGGACGAGCTCTTTTATTAGTAGTAGGATCTTAGGCTTATATTGTCGCGAAGACCATTGCGCCACGCAGGCAAAAGTGGAACGCGCTCCGACAGGTGCGCTGCAATTGACACATATGACTAACAACCGCGTCTTCCGACATATATAGGATATTATTATTAAGGATATATTATTATTATTATTAAGATTATACTAGGGACCTAGCTAAAGGTATCTAGAACTTCGATATTAAATAAGAGGGAAAAACTAAAGTACTTAAGGGAAAACCCTCCCTTCTTTTAATATAGGTTCGCCTTAAATAAAGTTATAGTAGTAGTATATAGGAAATTTACGCTAGCTACCGCGGGCTTCTCTTATATAATCTTATTTTAACGTAGGCCTTCTTAGGCTATAGCTGCTACTATCCTAAGCGGCCGCGGCCTAGGCTCGCTAGCCCGGGCTTAGGGTTATAGGCAGTAGTCTCTCTCTAAGGGCCTAGCTTATAGGCGCCTTTATTCTCTATAGCTCCTACGTTGCTACCGCGTAGCCGCGGCCGCGGCCGCGTCGGCCTATCGGTCTATTAGTTAGTAGGGCAGGTAATATCTAGTTACTAGGCCGGGCGCTAGTATAGGTCGCTCTTAGGTAGGGCCGGCTAATAGAAATTCGGTTAGCTAGCTCCGCTAATCGAAAATCGGTTCCTATCTAGCTATACGACTTCTTAATTAAGGGCGCGGCGGCCTATATTTACCGTCTATTATATAGTTACTAATTATACGCGCCCGGCTCGTATATATATTATACCTACCCTCCCCCTTTAGTTTTATTCCTACCTCCTTATACCTCTCTATCTATTATCTCTTTTATAGGCCTTAGTTCCTTACCTATATTATTTTTATATCCTTAGTTCTCCTTAATACTATATTTAGTTCGTTCGCTATTATATCGCTATATTTAACTAATAAGCTAACTTAGGTAGTGTAAGAAGGTATAAGCAATAAGCGTAGAATCGGGTAATCGATAACGTAAGCGGAAAGATCGGTCGAAGGAGTATAGGGTAGGATTTCGTCCGGAATTTATAACGAGCATATAAGGGGCTGAATAATATATTAAAAGAATAGCGTTGCAAAAGATGCTTGTGAACTTACTTATTATATCTACTACTCCCAGGGAAATCCTTCGTCTTTTATAGACCATTGCTCGCCTACTAGTAGACCAATTAGTCAGCTTTTTAGCATATTCTATAGTGCTTAAAAAGCTCTATCTATAGTATATCTTCTTAACTTAGTAGGTGGTCTGATTGTGGCGTGATGGTTGACGTAAGACTATGGGTTCTGGCATAAGTAGTGGATTTAACTAGAATGTTCTATGCCCTACCTATTCTCGTATCGCGGATATCTTCGGAACCGCTAGGCCAAAATAGGCAATATG